AAAAACCCAGCAAATAGCTTAGTTGTTTTGGGGACAATTAAGAACATTTGGATATTGACTGCATATTAGATGGCATTATAGATGATAATTTTTGTAGGTGTGGTAATGATATTGTCATGCAGGAAAATGTCTTATTCTTAGGTAATGCATGAGAAAGTATTTGGGGGTGAAGTGGCATGATAATGGCAACTTTTTTTTTTTTTTAAAGATTGCTTATTTATTTATTTGAGAGAGAGAGCAGGAAGGGGGTGGGAGGGTAGTGGTGGCGGAAAGGCAGAGAGAGAAGCAGACTCCCCACTGAGCAGGGAGCCCAATGTGGGGCTCGATCATGACCTGAGCCAAAGGCAGACACTTAACTGACTGAGCCACCCAGGTGCCCCAATATTGGCAACTTTCAAATGTTCAGCAAAAATCAGTTATGTACATGAAGAGAAAGAGAAAGCAAATGGGGTGAAATGTTAATAGCTGAACAACTGATAAATCTCGTTGTAGGATATAGAAGTTATTAATGCACATAAGTGATTTAGCTTTTATGCATATACGTGTGTGTGTGTGTGTGTGTATGGCCAGCTACATAATTTGTGGGACCCAGTGAAATCAAAACATGAGGACTTTGTTCAAAAATCAAGCATGGGCACTTCTTGAACACAGAATTTTGTGCAACTGCACTGTTCCACATCCATGAGGTCAGACACACATGTGAACATAACACATATCCATGCGCACACACATATATGTGCACACACACGTAACTGGGATGAAATGTTTAGAAGTCTAAATACCAGCTTCTCCAAGACTCCATTATCCAGGACACTGACTAGAAACATAAACTCACAATATCCATTCCCTACTTGAGTGTTCATTGTAACTTGAGGTTCCTGGCATGTTCATTTTTTATTATAGAATAATGAATGATTCTAATATTATTCATATTTTAATAAATTTTTATGTTAAAACATACATCAAAACAGAGAATAAGGGGAACGTCTGGGTGGCTCAGTCGGTTAAACATTCAACTCTTCATTTTGGCTCAGGTCATGATCTCATGTTGGTGGATTGAGCCCCAAGTCAGGCTCTGCGCTCCCTTCAGCAGGGAGCCTGCTTCTCACTGTCTCTTTCCCTCTGACCCAACCCCTGCTATCTTTCAAATAAATAAATAAAATCTATAAAAAGAGAAAGAAAAGAATAGTGATACTCTGTGTACCCATCACCCAGTTTCAACAACGATCAATATTCTACCGTTCTTGTTATATCTGTCCCTTTTTTTTTTTTTAATTTTTACTGTAGTATTCTAAAATGAATGTTAGGTGTTATATAATTTCACTTGTAAATACTTAAAAGCGTATCTCTGATACAAGATCTTTTGAATTTCAACAAAACCACGATAACATTTTCATTCAACAAAATTAATAAGATTTCTTTGATTATCATACAATAATCTTAAATGTATTCAGTTTTCTTCACAAAAGAAATATTTTTACTGGTTGTTTAAATCAGGATCCATCACTGTCTCTTACTCTAACACTTACCCTGTTTTCAATTTTTTCCTCTTGCCATTCATTTGAGGAAGGAGCTGGATTGATTTGATTCTGGTTTAGATTTTTCCCCCCAAGAATGCTGCATTGGTGATGCTGGATACTTCCTTTGGCATCGCTTTGGGAGGAATATGTTTGGTTGTTCCATTTTTGGTGATCTGAAGATTGATCGGTGGGCTCCGGGGGTGTCATGTCCTATCAGGTGTCCTACCCATCTTCCACCTAACAGTTGTGGCAACCATTGATGATTGTTGTTTGGATCCATCATTTCTTTAGGGGTTGCAGAACAGGGATTTTCGGATCCTATCAGAACTCTTTGTCATCTGTGATTCTTCTATAAAGAACTTAAATGGGACAGATGGGATATTTATTTTTAGAATGAGTTGGTGTCCTGGCAACCTCCAAAGGTGACAAATGAGGTCTTTGTTTTCTGAGCAGGGGTGTGACCCAACCGGTTCTTTGAAACAGTGTGCTCGGAATGGGTTGAAGCAGGAAGAGACTACATTTGAAAGTCCAGAATGATGAGAGGCTGTGTCTGCCTGGAAAAAATAGTGGGGTTAGGACCAAGAGGAGTTGGGAACTAATTGTGAGGATTAAGGAGAAGGTACGCAACAGACATTGCCTCCAGGTTTGCTTGAAGGCGTGTGGTTGGATTAGGATGCCATGACAGGAAATAGAGACTCAATCACATTAACCCCTGAAGAGCCACACAAACTTGAGAGCTATTTTGTCTCACACTTTTATCTATTACACAGTTTTTTGTTGGAATTTAAGCCAGTCACACGTTTGTCTACACAGTGAGGAGAACACTTAAGGGAGGTAACATGGGAGCTCTCATGTGGAGATGCTGCCATGTTTGTGTTGCAGCCAGAATATTCAGGTAAAGATGTAGAGCAGACTGTAGGAAACGCACGATAGGGACACAACCAAAAGGATGGAAACACATGCAGAATGAGGTGTATGTTGTCTGGAAGCAACCCCTGCAGCTTAAGTTTGAATCCAGGGGATTTCCCAGGGAGATCATATAGAGGAAAGCAGGCTGAGGGACAGAATATGGTGGACAATCCATTTAGATATTTACTCTTTATGTCAAAATGTCCATCCAGTCCGTAACGTCTGTGATTCTGTATCTGTTACTATGGCCTATCCCAAGCCTGCATTTCTGCAGAAAGGTCTCAGATGGAGGCACTACAGCTGATCGATGTACGGTGGCTGCACTAATGGTTTAAACTCTGACTGAAAAGTGTGTAATAGGTAAAACTATGAGGCAACAATCTCTCTCAAATATGTGTGGCTCTTCGGAGGTTAATTTGAGACCTATATCAGTTTTCTATGACTGCTCTAACAAATTACCACCAACTTATTCTCTGACAGTTTTGGAGGCCAGCAGTCTGAAATGAGTTTCACTGGGCTGAAGTCGGGGTGTTGGCAGGGCCATACTCTTCTGGAGGCTCCTGCTTCGTGACCTACATTCACTGTTACTTGAATAAGGTTTTGCACTCAGTGGCTTTCTACTATGGTTTCTACCTAATATTCCCTTCAAATATATATTTTTTTTAAATAAAATTTATTAAGATATGGGGCACCTGGGTGGCTCCATGGGTTAATCAGCTCAGGTCATGATCCCGGAGTCCTGGGGTCGAGTCCCACATCGGGCTCTCTGCTCAGCGGGGAGCCTGCTTCCCCCTCTCTCTCTGCCTGCCTCTCTGCCTGCTTGTGATTTCTGTCAAATCAATAAGTAAAATCTTTAAAAAAAATAAATAAAATTTACTAAGATAAAATTCACATATGGTACAATTCACCCATTTAAACCATACAGTTCAATGTTGTCAAGGATGTTCAGTCATGCGGCCATCACAATTTTAAAACATTTTTGTCACCCATTAGCACTGATTCCTCATCTTCCCCCAAAGACTAATCTATCACAGATTTACTTCCCATCTCTATAGAATCACCCACTCTGGACATTTCATTTATACGGAATCATACATTTGCTCTTTTTTACTTAGTGTAATGTTTTCAAGGTTCATCTGTGTCGTGGCATGGATCAGTATTTCATTCCTTTTTATTGCCAACAATTATCCATTATGTGGATAGATCACATTTTATTTATCTATTCATCGGTTGATGGACATTTGCGTTTTTTCCACTTTCCTGCTATTATGAACAATGCTACTGGGAATATTCGTGGGCAAGTTTTACGTGGACTTATGTTTTCATTTCTCTTGGGCGAATACCTGAGAGTGGAAATGCTGGGTCACATTGAAACCCTTGTAACTTTGTGTTCCCAGGTTATCGTCAGGACCAAATTCTGTGTTCCATCATCCCCACTCACAACGAAACCTCTCCCTAGTACTGCTGCTGTTCAGTACCTCAGTATTATACTCACCAATTTGCCTTGCAGCTCAGTAATTCCTATGTGACTCTTTGTGACTTTCTGGAAAGCAGGGACAGGGTCTCTCATTTTCGTATACCCCAAGGCAGTGAGTGTACTGCCTTGCATAAAACAGAAACTCCCTAAGTGCTTTTGAATTGGTGGGAAGTAAAAGTATTAAGAATTTCATGTGCTTGATCCTACACAATGTGTCTAAAACTAAATAATGTTCACTTTCAAATTTCAACAATTAAATGTCAAATAACACTTAAAATAAAAGTGTCTAAGGCAAACCAATTTCATATGTTAAAGTCTGTTTATTTTGAATTATAGAAGCTCTGGTATTTTGGATTTATATTAAGAAAATGAAACACTTTAGAAATTATAGGACTTTGAAAACAAACTTAGCACAATACAAACAAAAGTAAATGACATCACGATGTGCTAAAATTTAAGTTCCAAATTTCACATAAATTTCACTGAAGCAAATTCAAATTCACTAAAGCAAACTAAAAAATTCTTTTTAATGATCTGCTTCTGTTGGTTTTCATTATTGTTCTTACAAGATCAACAAAGACATATTAATAAGAATAAATTTTTACTTATATTGAAAGCCTATAATTTTCTTTGTCAATGTTAAAGAATGGAGGGATATTTCCCACTCTCCAAGATAGGCCTATTTCTAGCCTTTGACCTGGAAATGCAGACCACAACTCTGGTGGAGTCACAGATTCCATCAAGGTTATTTGCACATTCTCAGCCTAATTATGCATGAACATATTAAAAATATTCTTGGTCACTAGGCAGGTGAGAGATTTTCTCGAGTCAGTAACAAGAAAAAAAGAAGCTGGCGCCTCACTCTGTTCTGCCTAAAGCAGTCTTTGTGGCTTTGAGAATGTCTGCATGAATGTCAGGATATTGGCTGAAATGACAGGAGAGTATCTGACTGTAATTCCAAGGAAAGATAAACTCCTTTGTTGTAGCTATTAATTCAATTTTATTGTTTTTTAAGTGAAAAAGTAAATATTAAATAGTATTATCCAAGTGTGTAAACGCTAGTATTATATCTATATATGTATATAGGTATATAGTCATAAAAATAATGACTCATTTTCTGAAGAATGGAGGCCTAGAAGCTAACTAGTGATTTGCAGGCTCTGCTGCATCGTAGAATGAAGCATAGTAATGCTCAGGCCACACTGACCAATTACATCGGAATCTGAGAGTACCACACTATATTTTCCTTTTTAAACTCTCCAAGCTAAACTTGAGAACAAATGAATTAGGTCATATTAGGTCAGAGGCTGATACAAGTTGTATTACTGATTATCTTAACACAAATATAGGTTGGTTTTTGCTGTGTTTTTGGGTGCGTGGTTTTTAATAAGAGGAAGGAGGGTGATCTCTTGCTCAATGGTACTGAAAAGTGAGCTGTAAAATTGTACCCCAGAAGATAACAATGCTCTACATTTAGCCTGTAGCGCTAGTTCTTATCCACAGGTGCTTATCAGACTCATTCTTAACACTTCAAAATAAATACAAATATCCAGAAATTATCCTAGACCAGCTGAATCAAAATCACTCGGGAAGTACCTGAGTTTGTGAACTTTAAAAAAAGTTCTGTGATTTTTGATGTCACATTTTGGTTGAAGATCTTTAGAGGTGTGCCACGTGGTATGTCCTTAGCTGTATTTGATTAAATTACAGGGAAGCAGATTTTAGAAAAATAACTTTAAAAATCACATAGAGCTACCCAGCAATGGAATGACCCATTTTAAGGCAGTCAGCTCTCTGTGTCTGGAAAAATAAAGGCAGAGGTTGGATTAACACCTGCTGGGAATGTTGTCCAAGGGCTCCCAAACAGTGAGTAGTTGGATCACCAGATATTTAACGTTACTCCCAGTTTTTAAGTTTCGTTAGCCAAAACCTGCAATCGCTCACTTACAATGGATATTCATATTTTCACGAAAAGTCATGATTTTGCCAGGAGTATCATAATTATTTTGTTTCTAAAATTGGCTAGATCGAAGTAGCATTAATGGAATGTTGCCTCTGATACCAGTCTTACTGAAGGAAATATCCTTCCCTCTTCCTCATGTTTGCATGGAGGGATGGAACTTTTTCTTGCTCCTTGGAAGGCAGAAGTGTGCAAACAAGCTCCATGAATCCTCATTCATTCCTCTCGACAGACAGGTGTCTCATCTGATGAGCGATCTGGGGAGCAGGAACCCAGCATGTGTGGCCCAGCCCCTAGTGTGTTCTCTCACCTTGAAAGCTGAATGGTCTCCAAACGCAAAGGTGGGCTCTATCCCTGGCAAGGCAGAGATCTGCAGTTGTGTCCAGGCAGAGATATTTTAGGGAGCCTGATAGGAGAACAAGCCAACCTTGCCCTCTACTTCAGCTTCACTGATAATAAAGCTGACATTTTGATATCTCTCTGACTCCCATGTCTTATTTCTCAATTTGTTCCAAAGTGAAGAGGGGAATAAGAAGGTATCCTTAAGCCCCAGAAGCATCACAATCGAGTCATGAATTGTAACTGCACGTGTCTCTAACACTTGTGTTCTGAAATAGCGTTATTTTTTTGAAGTCGGTGAACAACTATAAAATACAAAGTACTTCCAAAGTTACAAAAAGAACACAACATATAAAAGGCTCCTTTTCTTTACTGGCATAATTTGGGAATTCTAACTGCTCAATTGTCTATTTTTAGGTAATAGTGACATTTTCCAAGTTTTTACTTTATTAAGAATAGTCTTAGTCATGATCTGCAGAAGTTGGTCCTGGGCAATTTGAAGAGAGGTCTTCTTTATCTGTGATTTATGTGAGGAAAATAAAAGATTAGTATGACTTATATGGTAAACTATTACAGAAAATTATGTTAACATAACGTGTTTTGTAGTTGTGTTTGCTACTTACTCAGCTAAACAAGGGAAAGACACAATAAGAACCAATAAGTCTTAACTGTCAAAACATCCTTAAATTCAAGTTAACAAAGGCAACTTGGGTGAATGTTTTAAAAGGGAAAGTATGTGGCTCTGTAAGACATCTGGCCAGGTTTAAACCCCTTTCTTTCTTAAAATAGAATAAAATTTTAAAAAATGGAGTGGATTTCAAGAATTCTCATTTTTATAGTTCAGGGACAATATCTAACTATACAAAAGCTAGTTTTAAATTTATTTATTTATTTATTTGAGAGAGAGAGAGAATGAGAGAGAACATGAAAAGAGGGAGGGTCAGAGGGAGAAGCAGACTCCTGCTGAGCAGGGAGCTGGATGCGGGGCTCAATCCCTGGGACTCCGGGATCATGACCTGAGCCGAAAGCAGTCGCTTAACCAACTGAGCCACCCAGGCCCCCAAAAAGCTAGTTTTAAATTTTTAAATAGGGGCACCTGGGTGGCTCAGTCAGTTAAGCATCTGCCTTCAGCTCAGGTCATGATTCCAGGGTCCTGGGATCGAGTCCTGCATCAGGCTCCCTGCTCAGAGGCGAGCCTGCTTCTCCCTCTCCCTCTGCTGCTCCCCCTGCTTGTTCTCTCTCTCGCTTTCTCTCTCAAATAAATGAATAAAAATCTTTAAAAATGTTTAAATATCTTTCAAGTACTATAGCTCAAGAAAGACTCTTTATAAATTTGTTTTCAACAAATCATCCCCAAGACTCAAAAATTCTTCCTTTTGAAATAGAAGACTGAAAAAATTCCCTTCTGCACATTTAGTTTCTGAAAGTTAAAAGCATCTTTAATAAGGCTTATTAAAAGCCTTTATTAATAAGACGAGAGTTAACGGGATGCCTTGGTGGCTCAGGCCGTTAAGTGTCTGCCTTCAGCTCAGGTCATGATCTCAGGGTACAGGGACTGAGTGAGCCCTTAGTCAGGATCCCGGCTCAGTGGGGAGACTGCTTCTCCTCCACCACCCCCATTCATGCTCTCTCTCTCAAATAGATCAAAAAAAAAAAAAAGAAGAAGACCTCAACTATTTCTATATCCACTATTGCCTTAAGACACTGATCCCACATTGTCATTTGGATGGAATAAGAAATTTCCATTGTCAGGGCCGCCTGGGTGGCTCAGTTGTTAAGCATCTGCCTTCAGCTCAGGTCATGATCCCAGGGTCCTGGGATCGAGTCCCATGTAGGGCTCCAGGGAGCCCGCTTCTCCCTTTGCTTGTGCTCTCTTGCATGCTCTCTCTCAAATAAATAAAATCTTTAAAAAAGAATTTCCATTGTCTATGGGGAATGTGACTTTCTCTCTCTCTCTCTCACACACACACACACACACAATCAAAGTTAAAAAAAAAAATCAAAGAACATTTGTGTTCAATATTTTGAAAAAGTGCCAAGTGTCTTACCTTCATAGGCTGTTCCACACCAAATACAATACAGATGTTCTTCTCTTAAATAACCAGTCAATATTTGTAATTTTTCCAGTACCTAGACATAGGACACAGGCACATTAATAGTTCCAAACTGAATAGAATCTTGGTTTTCTGGTCTTTTGGATCCTGCCAAATTAGCCCAAGGCCATAAATCTTCTGCTACTCTCTTAACCAGGTAGAATTGTAAAGAGCAGTGTATATTAGAACATATCCTAGTTCATCAGCCACCCTGATATTTTCACAAGTCTGCCAGACACAAAGAGACCACTTGTTAACATTTAGAAAATGAGGCTTGGGCTGGCTCTGTTTTAATCAGCCTCCTTTAAAGACCCCTTCTACTTTCAAAGAATCTTCCTCTCCAGTGGGATGAGAGTGAACACTGTCTCCCTTTGTCCTTAAAGTTCTTACCAATGTTCTCCCAGCTAAGTGGAACACTGGTTTTTCAAATTGGGAATGTTTCCTATAAAATGCTCATATATAAATAACCACAGAAATAGGATTCCTTTCTTGAATAATGTCTACTTCCTTTGAACTTTTTTTTTTTTTTTGCTTTGTGGGTAGAGGAGAGAGGTACTCCTATAGAATCACTTCCAGAAATTTAACAGGCAATAAGGTAGAAATTAAAAGAATTTACATTTGCAGCTTATCCATCATCCAAACTAGAGCTGAGATGAGAGTGTAAACTGAAGCTAAAGGAAGAAATTATATAAAGTTTTGGTAAACTTATAATGTCGTGGTTCTCAACAAGGGCTGATTTTTCCCCACAGAGATATTTTGCAGTGTCTGGAGACATTTTTGGTTGTCATGGGGAGATGCAACTGGCATCTGCTGCGTGGAGGCCAGGCCTGATACTACGAGGCACAGAACAGCAGCCCCTGCCCCCAAACGATCACTGGGCTGAAAGCCTTAATGGTGCCAAGGCTGACGGGGCGTCTGGGTGGCTCAGTGGGTTAAAGCCTCTGCCTTCGGTTCAGGTCATGATCCCAGGGTCCTGGGATCAAGCCCCACATTGAGACCCCATCGGGCTCTCTGCTCAGCAGGGAGCCTGCTTCCCCCCCCCGCCCCCGTCTCTCTACCTGCCTCTCTGTCTACTTGTGATCTCTGTCAAATAAATAAATAAAATCTTAAAAAAAAAAAAAATGGTGCCAAGGCTGACACCCCCTGATCAAACAACTGGTGGCAAAACATACACTTAAGTCTTCACTCTTATATTCATCTTCCTCTGGCTCTTTTTCTTCCTCTTCTTCTTCCTCAGTCTCCTCTTCAAGCCCCAACCAGTACCACGCTTCCCTCGGAACTTGAATGTTCTGAAAACGGGAAAATTATTCCCAGTTAAACACAAATATGTTCATGTCAACATGAATCATTTTCTGAATTGCCTCGAGAGTCAAGCACTGTGCTGTATGAACCATGGGAATGAAGACCCAGTTGGAATATTGTCCCCAAGTTGCTGCCAGTCTAGTGGGGACAAGGAGCCTTGGGTATACATAGCCTAATGGGTATAAATTAATACATGTAAGCTAGAAATCTGAAGTGTCATGACACAGACACAAAATAAAATGCTATGAGAATACAGAAAAGTGAGAGATGGCTTCCAGAGATCTATTTACATATGAGGGAAATTTGACAAACGTTTTCCAGACTTCAAATGAAGTCATTTTATTTTGATGAAAACATCAAAATAAAAATAAAAGAAAAAACAGAATTTTAAAAACCACTGACATCTAAAATAGATAGTAATCTACCATGATTTTACTAGTTAGGGATGCATGAGGTACTGAATATGGACTAAAAATAGGCTATTCTGGTTAATCAAATATTCTGGTGAACAGGATTTCCACATGCATCAGCTCTGAGTAATCGATACTCAAATAAGTAGAGAACAATTAAATATAAAAACGCTATTTGAGACTTACCGGGTAATTCAGACCACCCCGGTTCCTGCAGTGGACAAATCATCTGAGTATCAATCATCAAAGATCAGTAGTGCCCATTAAATGAAAGCTTTATGGGGTAGCAGGCTAGATACAGTGGGCTTGGGAGTTCTTTTCTTTCTTTTTTTGGTCTAATTAGAGGGCAAATTACACTGGGTGCAAAAAAAGTGCTCCAATTTGAACACAGGTGAAAGGCTTGCCTTCTGAGTATCCAACTGGCGGCAGGCTCGCTGGCTTCTCCTCAGGTCCCCTTCCAGCTTCACTTCATCGTGCTTATGTTTAAATCGCAGTCTAAAAAAGAAATCAAATCAAATCAGTCAATCACAGTCTCACTGAAAGAAGACAACAGTCCGCGAAGAGTCTCTACTCTCTTCCCCCATTCTATGTGCCCAGCTTCCGGAGAACATACCCCAGTAAAGACAAGATGAAACCCAACCCAGCACAAGTACAAGGTGTTACCGAAACTGCTCTGCAGCTGTTTCTTCAGCTTGGTTTTGCATGCGAATCTTTCTCCTGTAGCTTTCTAGTTTTTCCTCTGCTTTCCGCTTCAGCAATGCCTCGTGACCAAGACCGCTTTTCCCTGTTTAAAAAGCAAACTCTGCTGAGGAGCCTGCTGGCTTCACACATGAAAACATGGCAACTAACATATTTGCAAATGACACACAATTCTAATTGGAGGACAATCACTTAAAATCATTGAACATGAACGATAGGAGAAAACACCAGAGATTTTTTTTTTCCTAAACCCAAACTCACAATTTGATTTATACAAAGATCATAGTCTGATCTCCTAAGATAGTCATGCTATATAAAATTTTTTAAATTGGGAAAACAGGATCAACTGTCATACTTTCATATAAATATAACGAACAAATGAAATATTTATTTTTCTCTTTAATTCATCCAAAGTATTAAGAAAAACACTAAATGGATAAATCTGTCTTAGAAAACTTTGACGGATTTCAATGGAGAAAAGTAGCTTTGCATTTTTAATGGTCACTACAATTTTTTCCCATATTTTTATGATATAAATTTTATTTTACACTCAAACTTTTATTTTTTAGTTTATAAGATTTAGAAGTTTAAGAAACATCTTATGGAGGGCTTCCTTTGACAAGAACTGTAACAGTGCTACCATAAAAAAGTATTTAGTAAGCAAATACATGTGCTAGATCTAAGCGTAAGTTATTATTACTGGTAAATATGCTAAAAAGTAATTATATACCTGTTTTGACGTTGAGAGGAATTGGCTCAACAATACCATCTCCTAAGAAAAGAGAACAAAACACACAAACTACTTTAGAAATTCTTCCACAAACTATAGGCGAACCTGGTATGCAATGTTACAATGTTCTATACATACCCCTCGGGCTTACTGACTATACCCTATCATCAACTACCTCCCTTGCCTTCAAATACTTGCTCCTTAGTAAGGCTGACCCGCAGCCCCCTATGCCCTCAGAAGGTAGGGTTTCCAGAAGTGAAAACACTGATACTCTATGTCCAAGAGTGCGGCAGCCTCCAGAGAAACCAAAGCCTTGTTGGGTGAGGATCAAAGCCATTATAACAAAGAAGAGAAGACAAGAAAGACAGTTTACTACAAACATATGACCTCTCCACCTTAATAAACAGTCTCACTTTCTAAAAGGGAAGTGGGAATTGAGCTTGTCCCAGCAGGTGCTCATTTAGGCAGCTGCCACAGGTACAGAGCAAGCGGGGAGAGCCCTGCCATCCTCCTCAATGTCACTCCACTGTCCTTTGGCCCTTGCACTCCTCAACGCTTCTCTTGTCACCATTCTTAGCTGCTGCCTTCATTCTAAGTCTTGTCCATCCCAGATGTTAGCACCTTCAAGGCTAAGCTGGGCTAATAAGTAGCTCTTGATGGCAAACGTTGTCTGAAGTGGTGAAGGAAGATGAAAGTTGTCCATATGCTTGTCAGCACATAAGACACTAGCTAAGTTGTTTAAATTTCGGTGCAGCTGGGTAAAGAGTTGTGTCTGGTACTCATCAATAGATCAGCATTTGGTGGTTAGGAACACCTGCTTCTGTCTAGACGGAACTTACCACTCTTGCCAAGGGCCTGACCACTTTTATATCCCATCTTTTGGAGCAGAGCAAACCCTTTGTTTTCACAGCCTAGTGCATTCTTCAGCCCAATATCACGTCTTTCTTGTTCTTCTTCTTTTAAACTCTTCTGCCTATTTTTCAAATTAGCTTCCTGCTGCTTTTCTTCTTTTCGACGGGCTTCTCGGATCTGCCTCAGCATTGGCAATCCTGGTCTGATGTCTTGTCTGAAGAATAAGGGAAAAGGGGATTTTGGATGAGTATATGAAGTTTTCTCACAACTTTGCTACTCACTCATTTGACACTGCTTAAAAGTTCAGTAGCACTTCTATGATCACCTTTGTTATTATTGGTTATTATTGGTATTAAAACATAATCAGTGACCTCTAGAATGGCTGTCTTAATAAAAATAATGAAGGCTGGTGCCAGACTGCAGGAAACTAAAAGAAGTAGAGAGTTGAAATAGTAATTTTACACTAATTTTTCTAGGAGGTTGGAAATAATAAAGAGCAAAGCTGAATACTAATTAGAAGAGACAATAAGATAAAGCAGAAGAGAAATTTCCTTGAAAGAGAAGAGTAACAAGAACCAAGGGCAGAAGTCAATGTTTAGCCTTAAAAGGGAAATAAAGGCTCCTAGTATATTTGTATGAAAATGTAGGCGATGTTCCCATAAAGCAATAGAACTAACCTTCCAACTTGCATTTAAAATCAATGTTATTACTTAGGAATCTCCTACATACCATTACATGAGGTGTACATCTTTACTTACTGGACATTAATGAAGGAATCAGACATGTAGTCCTCTTCTTCTGCCATTTTCAACCTCATATGGCAAAAGTATCTACAAATCAAACAGGATAAAGTAACAATATCTACTATTTTAGTTTATGATGGAAATAGACCTTTCTCTGCGGCTCTCCCACGCATTCAAGTGCCTCCTGGTATCTTTCTGTGTGAAGCTCCCCAACAACTCATTCTCTTCTACCCCAAGCCTCCTTCATCCCCTATTATTTCCAAATGAATGTCACTACAATCTGCCCATTCCTGACCTCTTACAAACCTCTGCCAAGACTTACTCTACAATACCCCTCATTTTTCCTACAGTTAAGGCATTTCTTTCTCACCTAAACTATTACAACTACTTCCTAACTGGTCTCATTGCGTTTGGCCTCTCCTCTTCCAATCTGTTTCCTAGATGCTCTCCAGAGTGGTTTGTTTGTTTGTTTGTTTTAAAGACAGCTTTTTTTTTAAAGCTCATTTTATTTTAGTAATCCCTACACCCAACGTGGGGCTCAAACTCACAACTCCAAGATCAAGAGTCCTGTGCTCTTCCCACTAAGCCAGCCAGGTGGCCCCAGAGTGTACTTTTTTTTTTTTTTTTTTTTTTTTAAAATAAGTCAGGTCATTTAACCTGTTTCAAATCCTTCAATAAGCTTTACTCTGTAGGCACTGGAGGACCAGTCACTTAAACACAGTAGCAGGAGGGATCCTTCATAGTCTGACCCCTGATGCTCCCTTAGGATTCAATGGTCAAGTCATAGGGGCTTCTCATTGGCCTCTGAACATACTACAGACATTTCCTTCCTTCTGGGCCTTGGCGACCCCCTTCGCAGTCTGTGCTGACCATTCCAGGAATTGCTCTATAGCACTTCATGTCCAAGCTGCTCCTTTGGAACTTGATACAGTTAATGTCTCATGTATATGGAAACATTTTTTGAGGAGAGTTTCCATCCAAAACAGTTAAAATCATGTAACTATTTTCCCTTACAGGGATAACATAATTATCAAGAAAGGTGCATCTCAAACTTTATTATGTACAGGAATTGCCTCAGGATCTTCTTAAAATCCAGAGTCTGATTGTGAGCTAGAGCCCGATAGAAGCCTTATTTCCAATAAGCTCCCAGGTGATATCAATGCTGCTGGTCCAGTGGCTAGTTACAAAGGGGAGTCATTGGTTGCAGTGCACACATGCTGTTTTTACCTGCATCCTTTCCTTTCGGAACCCAGCCCTCTGCTCTCCATGTGGTTCTAGTGGAGGGTGGCAATCTCAGTACTCGTACCAGGGACTCCCAATTCTGGTATACTATGTCCCAGCAACAGAGGAGGTGATGAACTAACCAGGGAAGATAAGCATCTATTTCCTTACATGATAAGAATATACAGACTGGGGGGAAAAGAGATACCTTCACTGGGGTTTCTGAACTGGAAGTATGTGAAGCTGGGCTTCAGATGGCCACCTTCCTGGCCATATGAAGAGATTCTATTCCGCAGAATGAAACCAGATAGAAAAAATGGACAAAGGTAGTCCTAAAAGCAGTGAGTCTCTAAGTCTAGTTCCTAAGACCCTGATTTTTATAGCACTTTCTTTGATGTTGTGATCTAACATTCTTCCAAGCTAGACGGACTGATAAATTTCCTCACGATTTAAACTTGGAATAGGGATTCTGTCAACTGCAACTGAGAGTTTGGACAATTACACTGGATGGGAAAACTATTACTGTACTGTTTTTGTTTTTGTAGTTTCTTAATGTATTTTTCCTAACTGGGCTGTAAACCCCAAAGACAAGTTCCCTACCACTGTGGCCCAAACACCATAAATTCTAAACGACTAGCTATGGTAAGAACAAGAAGAGTCTTTACCTTGTGATTTTGTAATAATAGAACACTTTTCTCCCTAGGTCATCATGTCTTAAAACAAATGTACAGATAATGTACTTTTATGAAACAAACACTCTTGTAACCAAGCGGTGGCCTCTAAGATGGCCCCCAATGATTCCTGCCTCTTGGTTTTCCACATCCTTGCACAGTCCCCTTCCACAGTGACCAGGATTGACCTGTAACCAATACGGTATTGTGGAAATGATGGAGAGTGACTTCTTGGTCATAAAAGACACTCCTCTTAGTGTGTACAGCTCTTAGATCACTTAGATCACTCTAACTCTGGTTAGATTACTCATTTTAAAGAAAGTCAGCTGTCATGTAGTGAGGACACTTCAGCAACTCTATGGAAAAGTCCACATAGGAAGACCTGAGGCCCCCTGTTCACAACCATTACAAACTTGGGACATGTTTGGGACATCTTAGACATGATTGAGACATCTTAGAAACAGAGCCTCAAGTGCCAGTCAAACCTTCAAATGATTCAGCCTGGGCTACCATCTTCACTACATTTTCTTAAGGAAGTCTGAGCTAAGTTAAACTACTAACAAATTCCTGACCCATAAAGCTGTGAGAGAATAAGTGATTATAGTTATTTCAAGCTGCTATATTTTGGGATAACTTATTATACAGTAATAGATAATATAATCCATCACCCATATCATGACCCTTGTCAGCTACCTAGGAGTCCTCTTTGCCCCTACCAATTGTATAATTTTCTTACTTCCTAGTTTCATCAGCCATGTGTGCATCCTTAAACATTATCATTTTTTTCTTTTTATTATAAGGTAAAAATATATGATTATACATAGCATTTGTGGTAACTCACCTGCTGTCTCTAAACTTCAAATTTTTCATTTTTAATAATAGTACTTTTACACATAATGGTTTAGCGCCTACATTTTTATTCTATTTAATCATTAACAACTATATAAGGCAGGAATAGTTAGTCCAGCTTATTAGTTGGAGAAACTAAGGCTCAGTATGGCTAAACACAAAAAAATCCAGGTCTCAGTGCTTTTGCTACTGCAAACCGGGTCAGATTATTTTTAAGGGACCCATTTAGCTCTTAACTGTTAGGCAGATATGAATGTGGGTTCCAGGTTTTTTGTTTTTTGTTTTTCTTTCAGCTCTCCCTTTGTGGGTACAATATACTTTAGCATCATCCATTCGCATCAAGCATAAGGACAGACTTCTTAAAGCGATAATCCAGGCACCGTAACAGCAGTGGAAGTGGTTTGGAGCGGTCGGATTCTGGGTATATTTTAAAGGTACAGCTAATAGATGGGAAGCGGTGTGTCAAAGAGCGAGGTCACCGACTACTCCAAGGCTTTTCGTCTGAATACCTGGAAGAATGGAGTTAGCCAGTTTTTGAGAGTGGTTAGACCGTAGTAGGTCTGGTTCGGGTAAGGTTTGTCTTGTTTTGTTTCGGCAGAGAGCGGGCAGGGAGGCGGCAACAAGAAGGCTGCTTCAGACCTACGGAGAAACCCATTACACATCCAAGGGGAGAGAAGGGCTACGCAGCTGGACGTATAGTAGAGACCTAACCAAAAAAGCCTCAGTCCTCCCCATCCCCACCCCAGGGACCCCTGATTCCTCCCTTCTCGCGTCCATCCCAGCTGCAAGCATCCCGCAGACGCAACGACTTCCGAGCGGGTAGTAAGTGATGGTGTGACGGGGTAGTCAGAAAAAGCGCACAGCACACCACCTTTTACTATTCCATCTGGGGTCCCCAGCGTCCCCACCCCCGTACCTGCCAGCTCTACTCTGGTCCGGCCAGCTTCAGCGAGCGCGCGCTGCGCATGCGCCCACCTACAGCGTGGGACGTCTGAACCTCAGGTCCCACCTGCGTTTCCAAGCGAGCAATCAATTGGAAACCTGTGGCAGGCAGGACCAGGAGGATGTGATTAGTACGCTTGCGCAAGACCAGGCTTCCGCGCATGCGCTCTACTTTCGTTTCCTGCCGGCCGGAGTGCGGGAGGCGGGGCATCCGGGTCGTTTGGCAGAGGCTTCTCGCCCCGGAACTCAGCTGTCCAGCCCCTGCCAGAGTAGGAGGTGAGGCCACCCCCGTCTGCCGCCAGAGCATGACCGGTGACATGCACACAACCCCCTGCCCCCCTTTACGTTTTCAGAGGGCTGGAGAGGAAAATCGAGTTTGTAATGAACATTTTCCTTTCTCAGTCTCCAGGCTCGGTTCCGGGACACCGTCACCTACGGTTGACAGCCCGAATGGCCCTGTTGAGGCCTGCGGCGGGCTCTTGCATTTCCCCTAGGCCGGGTACTGAGCTACGGTGGTCCTCCGAGTAGCCGGGTTAACCCAGATCTGCAGCGCGCACATCTGCGGGCTGCATTTCGCGCAGCGCCCCGAGTTGCCACTGAAGCTTCTGCCACGGGGATGTGGCCCCCTCACCCCATCCCCGTAGGAAGGCTTTTGGAGACGTCCAGTTTGACATCTTTATACTGGGAGTTTTGACGTCCTCCTGGGCCAGGGGAGGGTAAGGGTGCTGTGCACTGAGCAGTGGGCTGGAAAAGAGAAAGATGGATTGTCAGGCCCAGCTGGTGTTTGATCTTGGTGCTGAAGTTTTACCATTTATGGAATAAGTTAATGACATGCGTTTTGCTACGCATTTTTCTTCTGGAATAATGCCTTATTTGCCATATATATTTATATATTTTATATTTTAAGTAATCTCTATGCCGAACGAGGGGCTTGAAGCCACAACTCCAAGTTCAAGAGTCGCAGGCTCTACTGACTGAGCCAGCCAGGTGCTCTGCTATTTACAAAATTTATTTGAATTTTCCGTTTATTCCTTTGTTCATTCTTCCTCACCAAGCATGACTTTCATTTATGTTTGTTTTTGTTTTATGCTGGTCCTTTGGAATTCGGTTCTTGGGTTTTATCTCAAAGAAATTATGTAAATTTCCCCCAAATGAAGTGAAAAATAAAGCCCTACTTTTCATTTTTTTAGTGGTTATGGTCATTAAACTTGACTTTCAACATTAAAAATATCCTTACAAGTATTTTTTAATTTGTTTAGGTGTGACTTTTAAACTTCAGTAATGGAGCTAGCCCACAGTTTATTGCTAAATGAAGAAGCTTTGGCTCAAATCACTGAAGCAAAGAGACCAGTTTTTATCTTTGAATGGTTGCGATTTCTTGATAAAGTCTTGGTTGCTGCCAACAAGGTATGGTATTGTTTTTTTTTTTTTTCTTTTTTCTTTTCCAGCCGGGTTTACATAACGAAGCGTATTATATGTTCATGATTTGCGATAAAACAAGCATTATGTTTTGGAAAGGTTGTGAGGTCACTTACGGAATCGAGAATGTAACACTGGAATAGGAATTGTTGTCTGTCCTTTTTCTGTTTTGTTGCAAAACCTGAATCTCATTTTAACCTTTGCTTACTTCATGTCTCTGCCTGGACAACTCAATGTGACTGTAGAAAAATATAATGATATGACTGCCGTCATTTTATATTCATTTATCTCCAACTTCAAGTGGTCCTAAAGTGCCACCTAGCAATCCCAGTATCTTCACTTATCCCTCTGAGGAATTATAATAGGTTTTTTTTTTCCCTTTCTATTTTCTTCTGCCTACACAATCTGTTTTATCCTAGTTGCTTTTCCTTGTGTGTATGTTTTATTTTCTGTCTTTAATATTAGATACTTTCCTCAAATACTTGATGACATTTGGCATCTGTTCAAATTTAAGAGTGAGTAGTAAGTTCCCAGGGCAGGATGAAGTTCATTAACTGTGCTTCACTGTAGCTAGTCCTATTGTTTGAGGAACCCCTGACATTGGTATCATAGGTTTCTCATAGCTACTCATTCCCTGGAATGGACATTTCTGCTCTAGTGTCCTAGGGTGTGTCACCAGCTGCCTAGATTCTAGGAATTCGGGATGGCGAGGGGCTTCAACGTCCAGTATGTAAACTTCCATTTAATCCCCCTGTCTTCAGTGCAGTTTTCCCAGCTCACAGCTGTGCTGAGCTCCCTAAGTTTGGAGTGGAGGAGAGATGCATGAGAGTCTTACAGCATCTAGACTCTCAACCATTTCCTCTAGGTCTAGGCGCAACTTCACTCCCTCCTCCAAAACTTCCTAGAGCTTTGAACAACAACAAAACAAACATGAGCTTTATGGGATTCTGTGATGTAAGTTGGGTCTCTTCTCAGCTTTCCCTATTCAAGATACCTGGCCTCTATATTTTCTGTTGATTATTTTACCATTTTCTTTGCTCTTGTAGATTTGGGCTTTTTGGGGGGCGCGCCCTTTAGTATAGTTTTAGTAGTATTTCTGGAGAGACAAAGTTAATGCATGGATTCATTTACAGTCCTTAGCTCAAAGTTTCTATTTTCTCTTAAACTCCTTCTAAGTGAGAATTTGTTGCCTACATTTCACTGAAATGATCTTGTCTAGTCATCAGTGATCTCAGATTCTTCCAACCAGTGGTCAGTGTTCTGTCCTAGCTGACCATCAGCAGCTTTTGATATAGTTGATCCTCTACCTTGAAACACTTACTCTATTTTTTGTTTTGTTGTGCAGTTGAAAAATACAAAAGTATTTGTAGGTATTTATTCCTTCAATGATATCATAATCTCATGATTTTTACTGCCATCTATACAATAATAACTCCCAGATACCCAACTACCTCTTTCTTAAACAGCATCTCAAAATTAAGATACTCAAAGCCAAATTCTTGATTTTCCCATCCCAAACCTGTCCCTTCCCTCGTGCTCATCTTCTCAGGAAATGACCATTTCTTCCTTCTAGTTTGCTCAGGTCATAAACCTTAGAGTCATTCTTGACTTCTCTCTTCTTCTCAAACTTCACACCATACACATCAGCAAGTCCATTGGTTCTATCCACCAAATACATCCCGAATTCAATTATTGGTCATCATTGCCATTGTTCCCATCCTCCTCTCTCATCTGGGTAGCTTCCTAAGTGCTCGCCATGTTCCAACCGTATACCTTGTAGACTATTCTTTGCTCAGTATTCAGAATGTGCCTGTTAAAACATTCTGATCGCATTCCTCTTGTGCTTCAAGTGCCTGTTTAGAATGAACATAGAAAATTCTTACAGTGGTGTGTAAGGCGCTGTACAGGGTAGACCCTTCCAACTACATCGAGATCTACTACTTCCTCTCTCTGACAATGCTCCAGCCAAACTGGCCATCTTGCTGTCCTCAACTAAGCAAGCTTCTACCTCAAGGCCTTTGCCCTTGTTCCCTTTTCTTGGAATGTTTTTCTCCAAGATGTCTGCATAGCTCACACCTTCACTTCTTTTCAGGGAGGGCTTTTCTTACTAATCTGTACAAAACAGATCTTACACTATTCATTTGTTTATTTGGTAAACTCTGTCTTTCCCCACTAGACTATAAGTTCACAAGGGCAGAGACTTTGTTGTGTTCGCTGTTCCATCCCAGTGCCTAGAATAGTGCATGGCATCTAATAAGTGCACAAACTGGCATTTCTTGAACGAATGAGTGAACTCTCAGTATTGATTATGGTATATCTGAATTTTTCTTTTTATGCTGTCTACGGCTCTTGAAGTTTCTTTCGGTTTCCTTCAGTGACCTATAATTTATGAACTACTGACTTTGCTTTTACAGGGCAGCATTGCTAGGTTCTAAGACTTCAATTGTCCACATGCCCAGTATTTAACATCCTTTGACTGTTGGTTTCTTAGTAAGTTGGTGTGGAAACTTTTTGGATCTAGAGTAGTCACTTTCATTGGTAGCTACCTTCTTCTTTTTTTTTTTTTTTTAAAGTTTTTTTTTTTAATTTATTGATTTGACAGAGAGAGATCACAAGTAGACAGAGAGGCAGGCAGAGAGAGAGAGAGGGAAGCAGGCTCCCTGCTGAGCAGAGAGCCCGATGCGGGACTCGATCCCAGGACCCTGAGATCATGACCTGAGCCGAAGGCAGCGGCTTAACCCACTGAGCCACCCAGGCGCCCGGTAGCTACCTTCTTGGCATTGGAGGGGAATGAAGGATAATATTTAATCTAGGAAAGAATGGTTCATTTCTTTTTTTTTTAAGATTTTATTTATTTATTTGTCAGAGAGAGACAGCACAAGCAGGCAGAGTGGCAGGCAGAGGCAGAGGGAGAATCAGGTTCCTTGCCGAGCAAGGAGCCTGATGCGGGACTTGATCCCAGGACCCTTGGATCATTACATGAGCCCAAGGCTGGCGCTTAACAGACTGAGCCACCTAGGCATCCCAAGAATGGTTCATTTCTTACCAAAGTTTTCCTTATCTTGAAAATTTTCATTTATGGTTTTATGCCTAATGTAATCTAGATTTTAACTGTTCGATATTTTTTATTTTGATTAAAAGGTAACAAAGGCATATATAAGGAAAAACTGGTAATGTTCTTTATGTTTTATAACAGACTGATGTAAAGGAGAAACAGAAAAAACTTGTTGAACAATTAACTGGATTAATAAGTAGTTCGCCTGGACCACCTACACGAA